AGGTTGCATTTATCTAATGCTAACATGAAAATATACAGGTGACATGATTTGTAAGCAAGGATCCAATTATCCCTCCCTCTCTGCTTCTTTCCTTTCTCCCCTCCTCCTTTTCCTCATTTCTCTCTCACACTCCCTTTCCCTGTTTTCCTCCTTTCCCTTCCCTCAATCCTTTCTTCCCTCAATCCTTTCTTCCTCTCTTCCTCCATTCCTTTTTCTTCCTCTCCTCCTTCCTCTTTCCCTTCCTTCTTTTTGTCTCCATCCATTTCTTCCTTCCCTCTCTCCCAAATCTCTCTTTACTTCTTTCCTCTCTTCTTTCTTCCTCCTCCCTTCCTCTCTTCTCTCTTTTGTCTCATGCTTTCTTTCCTTTTCTCCCTTCTTTTCTTCTTTTCCTCCTTCTTTCACCTTCCTTCCTTCATCTTTCCTTCCTCTTCTCCCCCTTCCTTCTTTGTTTCCTTCCTTCCTCCCTTCCTTTACTCCTTTGATTTCCTCCCTTTCTTCTTCCTTCCTTCTTTCCCTCTCTTCCTCCCTCTATCTCTTCTTTCCCTCCCTCCCTTCTTTCCTTCATCTGCTTCCCTCAGTGCCTTCATCCGACCTTCCTTTTTTATTCTGACATACACATTCTAACATCATTTTTCTGTGATCATCCAAATTTCAAAGGTTTATGCATACCAGGTATATGTACTTTAAAACTTATACTAAGGGTCACAACCATCTGTTTTGAGATGTCTGTAAAGAAGCATCCAGACACCATCCACTTCATCTCCGCAAACATTTGCCATCAGCAGACTATGCTGTGCCTGCAGGTTTAAAACACATGACATGATGACCACTGAGAGTGGTGAAACGTTCTCTCACAATGTGATCCTCTCCCCAGAGCACTGTGTAGTGACAGACATGCTGTGAGCTCTTCTTGTTTCCTCCTATCACCTCCAGTGCTGGAAGGGAACAGTGAAGGAATGCAGAAATATTCCCTCCTTTTCTGTGGTAGCTCACACCATGACAACAGATAAGATGAGTCCCATGTTTTCTCCTTACAGGCAACAGGTTGGTTTGTTCTCTGCATCTGATGACCAGGGAATCTTTCTCTGCCCTGGAGTGATCAGGCCACCACCCAATTTACAATAAACAAATAACTGGCAACAGTGAAATTCCTCATTTCCTTCTCTTATGGGGCTGCCAAAGAAGTGTGATCGCTTAAACTATTTATATTTGAATCCACCTTGCATTTCACATGACATGTAAATTCTGAGCAACTTCCTTGACAAATCATTTGAGTCATTCTAATACCTTTCCAATGAAACAAAATAACTCACTGTATTAATACAGTCTGTTATTTCAGGGATGTTTCCTATGGATGAAGAAACAAAAATAGAGGCTTCAGACAGACTGACATTCAGGAGCTCATTGCCTCAGTGAACTCTCTACCTGCAGCTTTTGATTTCAGTAGCATCAGAGTGTCTCTCCAAGTTCTAGTGGTTTTTCCTTCCTCATCTCCTCCAGTGATGTCAGGGCCTCCACGAAACCTAGAAGCACCCTCAACACAGACCATGAATGGCAATGTGAATGTATTCCCTAAATGCAGGGTGGAAATCACAGGCTCTAAGCCAAGTAACTTTAAGAAACAGATTTATGGCATTAAAAAGTACTCAATAACAGAGAGATCACTGGTATTCTCACGGCTGTCTCAGACTTTCATAGTATCTTGGTGAAAGCGTCCATTTGGTGCCAGTAGTGATAATAATTACCTCACAAAACTAATTAACTACCTTTATTTTCCTACCGTTTTTTCTTTTTTCTTTCTTTTTTTTTTTTTTTAAGTAATAAGAGAGCCAGCCTCAATCTCATAGCCTATGGAGTCAGGAGGAGTTAATGAGAATTTAACAGCATTATTTAGATTTCACTATTGTTTTAATGGTTCTATAAAATATATGAAGACTAACTCTAGTCTTCCACTTAAGATAATCTATAAAGTTTATTTTCAAATCCTATAAGGAGGAAAAGAAAAAGCATAGGGTTTTAATGGAAGTAAGTAAACACAGTGTTCCATATGAACTCAGTAGTATGTTTGGATGCCAATACAGTGAAGACTGAATGAGTATAGCCCTCTTGGGACACACTCTTGCAAGTCTTCAGGCTTCAAGACAAAGGAATTCTCTACAAGGGTAGACACCACCTATCTTAGTGTTAAGGTGTGGCCCTGTCTTCACAGGTTATTAGAAATTGAATACTGTCTTCTCCTAAATTAAGATATGCTGAATTCCTAACCCTCATACCTCAGTATGTGAGCATATTTGGAAACAGGGTAATGGCAGATGTGATTATTTAAGTTAAGAGGAGGTCACACTGGAGTAAGTAAGCTTCTAATGCACCTTAGCAGATGTCCTTATATAAAAACAGCCATGTGGAGACAGAGAAACACAGGGATGCGATAAGATGACAAAGACACAGAGTGTAGTTGTGCACCTGCAACCCAGGAATGCCAAAGATTGCAGCCAAATACCAGCAGCTAGGAAGCAGCAAGGACTACTCCCCTGAAACTTTTGGAGAGAACTTGGGCCTGGGAGCAACTTCGTTGCTGACTTCTGGTCTTATGAACTGTAAAATGATAAATTCTATTGTCATATGACACACAGGTTTTCATGCTTTTTTTTGCTTGTTTTAAAGACACAGGTTTCGCTATGTCACCCAGGTTTGAGGGCAGTGGTACAAACATGGCTCACTGCAGCCTTGGCCTCCTGTGCTCTAGTGATTCTCCCACCTCATCCTTCTAAGAAGCTGAGACTTCTCACCTCTTGGCATATTCTACCATGCCCTCCTAATATTTTTCATTTGTTTTGTAGAGACAGACTCTCACTATGTTGCCCAGGGTGATCTTAAACTCTTGGCCTTCTTAGGTGATCCTCCGGCCTTGGCCTCCCAAAGTGCTGGGATTACAGGCATAAGTCACTGTGCCTGGCACAGCCATACAGATTTTGGCACTCTGGTAACAGCAGCCCAAGTAAAACTAATAAACAAGGGTTACTTAGAAAAAAATATGAATTTTATTTCAGTCATTTCTTCACACAGGAAAGAACCTTTCAATGATAGACAAGTATCTCCATCAAATATTGGTCCCTCCTCTGTTCTTCTCCTGGTAGCCTATCTCAGACCAAATCTACAGAGTCTGATTTTAGAAAGTTGGTATCCAGATGATACATTTTCCACTTCAAAAACATGCTAACATGCTATACGTTTACCAAAAACAAACAAACAAACAAACAAAAAACCCTGTCATCTGATCTCACAATTACTGTGCACCGCTCATGCATGTCAGGGTCACTGCAGTCTAAGAGCCTTATTCCGCATGGGAAGATTTACCCTCCCTGGGCGACATGCACATCGTGTTCTTTTCTTTCATTCACTTTACAGAAACTCAGGGTGGATGACAGTGGCACACACAGGTAGAACAGAATGATACCCCATTGATTTCCATAGTTATATTATTAGACAAGAGAAAATGAAAAGATGCCACAATATTTGTAGCTATTTAGGATGCTTTTGGTTCTTTTCTATCAGGGTTTGCAGAGAATCCGCTCAGTAGAATATTGGCAGACTCTGTTGAATGTATGTTTTTTGTATATTTTATATTTTATACTATATTTAGGCCAATAAATGAGCTTTCCTGTGAGATGCATGTGTGTGTTTATATATGCATGCCATATAACAATATAATACAAATATCATATATTTTCCTTTGCTCTCTCTCTCTAGCTATATGGCAAAGGAAATACAAATATATATGTATATGTACATATATTTGTACTTGTATATTGTATATACATATTTGTAGTTCTGTTTGTATTTGTATATATATAATGTATATTGCATATGCATATATATATTAGTATTTGTATATGCTACACACACAAATATACTGTTATTTATGTGTATGTCGATATACAAATGCAAATTTTATATAATGTATATATTATACCTATGAGAATAGTTCTTTTTCTCTATATATGTTAACTATATATAGGAATATATATTTACATTTCCCTATAAATATTATGACAATTATTTATATTCCTATGGTCAGGCAATCTAAACAATTCCCCAAGTGGTAGCTCAGGTGAAATAGCAAATTCCTGTCTCTAACAAAATAAATTTTAAAATGAGCTGGGTATGGTGGCATTCACATGTAGTCAGTCCCACCTATTGAGAAGTATGAGGAGGGAGGATCCATTGAGACCAGGAGTTTCAGAACAGCTTGGGCAACATAGGAAACCCTGTCTCTACAAAAATCCATGTAAGGGCAAGGTGATTCATGTCTGCCGTCCCAGCTGCTTGAGATGCTGAGATGGGAAGAGCAAATGAATCCATGAGTTCTAGGCCACAGTGAGCTATGCTTGCACCATTATGGCACTCCAGCCTAGACAACAGAGTGAGACTTTGTCTCTAGGAAACAAATAAAAAAAAATAAACATTAGCCAGGCAAGGTAGTCACCTGTACTCCCAGCTACTCAGGAGGCTGAGGCAGGAGAATGGCTTTTGCCTAGGAGTTCAAGGCTGCAGTGTGCTAGGGTTGTACCACTGCACAGCAACCTGGGCAACAGAGCGAGACTGTGTCTCTTCAACAACAATAAGAACAAAAACAAAACTGTTTGATCAGCTGTTAACAGAACCATTATATATGTGTAAGTCCTGCACCTGCAAGTAGGAACTCTAGAATTTCTAATGGGCAATTAGAAATCTAGTAAAAATCTGGTTTGACACTAAAGTGTTTTACTCCTAAAACACTTTGGTAATAAAGAAAATTTGAGTTCTCACAGATGCTGGGGAAAACTCTCCTTGTTATTGCTGTGTATATAACTGTGTGTCTGTATGTGTATATGTGTGCACACAAGTGTATGTGTGTGTATGCATGTGTGCTCCTGCACATGCCGGTAGAAGGAATACTTATACTGAGGACCCAAACAAGCGAAGAGGACAGTGATACCGCAACACGAGGAAGAACGTACCCAGTTTTGGCGAAGTTCGTCCAGTAGGTCATGACCACGGCGCTGAGCATGACGTCGTTCTTGGAGAAATTACAACTGAAGAGCTCGGTGGGACCGACCATGGGGATGCCGAAGACGTAGGGGACCTCATCGCCATGGGCCGAATCCGCCCAGCTGGGCTTCATTTCGCTTTGGCAGTGATGATAGAAGGCATAGAAGTAGGTGGGGGAGCCGTACTGCGCGTGCAGGTCGGCGGTGGCCACGGCGGGGGCCACCCACTGGTGGTCAGTGAAGAGAGCCACCAGCGTTTTCCGCCGCGTCTCCGGGTTTTCCTTATCGGCCCAGTCTGTGTACATGAACTTGATAGTCTCGCGCAAAGTGTCTTTCCCTTCAGGATAGCCGTAAAGGTTGTCCACGAAGTTGGACACGGAGAAGTCAAAGTCATTGGGCGTCACACCGTCCTCGTTATCCACGATGCCGTCCACGAACTTCAAGCCTTCCCCTTGGTTGACGCCCAGCATGATGTCGTAGTTGAGGAACTCGCCTTGCTCCATCAGGATCTGAGGGTCGTCTGGGATGACGTCGCCGTCAATCACGGGCCCGAAGGCTATGTGGTAGGTGGCTGGGGTGATGGTCTGCTGGATGAGCTCCTTGTAGTTCTTGTTCCGCAGGCATTCTACCACGTCCGTGGTGTCCAGCATGTTGCAGCCGACCTTGTCTGCCAATATCCGAGTGTACTTGGCCGGCTGGTAGTTCACTGCCCAGCTGGACAGGGCGGTACCGCTCTGAATGATGGCCTTCTGGAAGAGACCTGCAGGTGCAAAATTGTGGACATGCAAATGAAAACCCGCAGGACAGAAACGCAGCTTTTACTGAGCAATGAAGGCTGTGATTGTCTCTCAGCATGTGAATTTTTGGACGTAGTACCATTCAGCTCTGTCAGGGGACATTTTACCCATTTTTATTTGGATTCCCTCCCCCTGAACATTCATTTTCGGGAATGATATTCTACACACATACTCATAGACATACACACACACACAAGTTTAAGGATATGAAACCACATTGAGGCTTTTCCCTGCACTCGTAAAACACATGTGATTTCTTTTTTCTTCCATAATTTAGTGTCGTTTTTGCTTCTTTGCCTCCGGATGCCATATATAAAAACTCAACAGCAACTGCATTCCCCATTTCCAAGGGGGGAAATAAACAAACAAACAGGCCTTAAACTAGTAAAAGGTCAAAGGCTCCCTTGTCTCACAAACAAATCCAGGTGTCTCTTCATTATGGGAAAAAATAAATCCAGTTGAATGAATTTCAGAGTTCTAATTTAGGAATGCATTTCTATCCTGAGTCTAATGAAGATATTAATGTTTGGGAATTAAAATAAATGCATTAGCTTAGCTATGCCTATCACTCAACTGGGTACCCAAATAACAAGTTTTTTAAAGTTATTTTCTTCAAGACTATGTCCACTAGAAACTCAGAGATTTTTTTTTTTTTTTTTTTTTTGGCCACATTTGAAAAATGCTTCACTTGGTGAGAAACTTGAAAAAGCATGGGCAATTTTAGGAGTAAAATTCTATAGAGCTTAGCATTCTCCATCAGCTCAGTCTACTACATGAATGTCCAGAAGTATAAAATCTGTATTTTTAATCATGACAGGACAAGAGACAGCAGGCTGTAAAAATCACAGCATTCCATTTACGGTCACTTCCTGCCATTTCTGTGAATCCCAGCCCGAGTCAGGCACTAAAGAATAAAGCATTCAGCTGTAAGTCCAGATACCCTGTCAATTTTTAATGTCATGGAAGCAATCAAATATGAGGAAAATATGGTTGTCATCAGGAAGATGTGATTTTAAAGACTGAAGGATTGCCCAAAGATGACACACAAGACTGCAACTTGAAAATCAATATGGCTTTAACCGTTATTTCATCAAAGCCATCTTGGGGACATTTCTGTCAGAAATGTGCAAGTATGGACTTGAGTACTTGGCTCTGAAGATTATTTTAAAATGTCCAAAAGAAAGAATGCAAATATGTAATCTGTTGGATACTTTCATTAGTTAAAACATTCAGAATTAGACAAATGCTCTGAGATGTTCCTTTCCCACCCTTCTTATAACTACTGGTAATAATTTAGGTAGCAGCATATATATATATGTAACACATATAATATATGTGTTTGTGTATATATATGTAACATATATAAAACAGTTATTTGTATGTTAGGGAAGTAATATAATTCCTGATGAGACTAAAAAACTTAGATAATGAAAAAAATCACCCATAAGTCATACATTAAAGCACAACTCACCTTAGCATAACAAGTATGTTAGGAATTAACTTAATTCTTTCTTACATCATCTCTCCCATTCAAACATCGTTTTGAATAGCTGAGCCCAATATTTATATAGCTGTCTATACTGTGTTTTTCCAGCTATTGAATATCTTAGGTAAATTATTATTCTTTTGAGTTAATACATATGGTTTCTCATAACTTTTGTCTTCTTTTGATCTTGTATTTCATTTCATTCTTTGCTATGATAATAATACTGAGGTGAATACCTTCATAAAACTATCTCTTGCCACATGTACTTTGTCTTCATTAGACTAGAATTCCTAAGGCCAACAATTTGGGTACTTTTATCTTTATCTTCATTTCAGACAGGGTGTATCTCTGCTACCCAGACTGGAGTGAAGTGGCATGATCTTGACTTGCTGCAGCTTCTGCCATCCAGGTCCAACTGATCCTCCCATCTCAACCTCCCAAGTAGCTGGGATTACAGGTGTGCACTGCCATACCTGGCTAATTTTTGTAATGTTTTGTAGAGATGGGGTTTCACTTTTTTGCCCAGGCTGGTCTTGAATTCCTGGACTCAAGCAATTCTCACACCTCAGCCTCCCAAAGTACTAGGATGATAGGCAGGAGTCACAGTGCTGTACTTATATTTTTCATAATTCTTGACAATACTGATGGGCTGCTTAGAAGCACTGCCTTGCAGAAATGACCAACACAAAGGTATTTCTGCAGCAAATAATAACTTCTAACTGTTGACTTAAATAATTACCATTTTCCTCTAATTAATGTGGCTTATATGTATTTCGTTACTCCTGAATTTGGTTCTGACTGCTTTCTAAATCTACAACTGTCATATCAACTGAGAAATGTGAATATCTATGTATTTTCAAAAATGCCGTAGATATCTCTATGCCAAATGGTTCATCAGATTATTCACTGTTCCTGTTTTTAAAATAAAGTTAGTACAAATATGAGCCCTTCCTCTTTCCTGGTATTAGCACTAGTTTGAGGTCAAAGGTTTTTTGGTCTCCTGTGCAAAACAATATGACCTATTAACTCAAGGAATTCAGAGTTTGCAGGATTTCAGGAAATCCTCATCTGCCCTATCTTGCTAAAGAAGACATTGAGGAGCATAGTGATCTAGAAATTTGTTCAGAAGGTGCAGAAAGTGAAGAAAGTCCTCCAGTTACTTGAAAGAAGGGTATTTTAAAATTTTATTTATTTATGTTTAGATAGGGTCTCTCTCTCTGCCACTTAGGTTGGAGTGTAGAGACACCATCAGAGCTCACTGCAGCCTCGACCTCCCTGGCTCAAGTGATCCTCAACCTCCCAAGCAACTGAGACCACAGGCATGAACCACCAGCCCCAGCTGGTTTTTATTTATTTTTGTATAAATGTGGCCCCATTATGTTGCTCAGGCTGGTCTCAAACTCTTGGGCTCAAGCCATACTTCCCACTCAGTCTCCCAAACTGCTGGAATAACAGGCATGAGCCACCTTACTCAGCTGATAACTTGAATAAATAACAGTTCCAGAGGCTGAAACAGGCAGATCACTTGAGTTCAAGAAGTTTAAGGCCAACCTGGCCAATATGGTGAGACACCATCTCTACTAAAAATACAAAAATTAGCTGGGCATGGTGATGGGCACCTGTAATCCCAGCTACTCAGGACATTGAGGCAGAAGAATCGCTTTGAAACTGGGAGATAGAGGTTGTGGTGAGCTGAGAGCATGCCACTACACTCCTGCCTGAGTGACAGAGTGAGACTCTTTCTTAAAAAGAAAAAAAATTCCATTAAGATTTTGAGTACTTCAGATGTAAATGGTCCAGTCAGTGTGATGCCATTCTGAAGACAACCAATGACACATAAGAAATTACAATGCTGGCCGGGCGCGGTAATCCCAGCACTTTGGGAGGCCGAGACGGGCGGATCACGAGGTCAGGAGATCGAGACCATCCTGGCTGACACGGTGAAACCCCGTCTCTACTAAAAAATACAAAAAAACTAGCCGGGCGAGGTGGCAGGCGCCTGTAGTCCCAGCTACTCGGGAGGCTGAGGCAGGAGAATGGCGTGAACCCAGGAGGCGGAGCTTGCAGTGAGCCAAGATCACGCCACTGCACTCTAGCCTGGGCGGCAGAGCGAGGCTCTGTCTCAAAAAAAAAAAAAAAAAAAAAAAAAAAGAAATTACAATGCTGTGTTGATGACTGAGATGGCTATTGTGAATATTCATTTATACCTGGCCAGTAACAGAGGACTGGATCTGTTCTGCAGATTTCCCTGCTTCCTCCTTTTAGGCCACAGCCAAGAATTTGTGATCTGGCTTCCAGAACCAATTGCCTCAAATTCCTATGGACTGCTCTTTGAAGTCTCATCTGATACTGCAGAGAGCCTGCCTCATGTATGGACAGCAGGGAATCACATTGAATGAGCCTCAGGCACTCTGGCAGGGCTCAGGGGTGTGGCTGTCTATGCTGACCACCAGTTAGGCAGCATGAGCAACTACTACTTAGAGGCCCAAGTGCACATCTGGTTGGGTATGGCTGCCTATGCTAACTACCATGTCCAAGTGCACGTCTGGTTGAGGTAACATGATGTGCATGTGTTTCTGTGATTTTTGCTTTCTCTGTTTTGCCAACAGCAGCTTTTTCCAGTTTATTAGCAGGGCCACAGCAAAGGTTTGGAGCTCCCATGGGGACAAGTAGAGGAACTCATGCTGACTGCCTCAGCAAGGAGGTTCTTCCTAAAAGTGAATGTGAGAGAGAGAGAGATAAAACAAACTGTGAACACTTCCAAGTGCCTCATGCTGAAATGACAAGTAAGAATGTCCTTTGCTGAAAGTTATATTTGCAGGAGAGGAAGAAAGGGGGAGAGAGAGAGAGAGCGAGAGAGAGATATATCTATAGAGAGAGAGAGAAAGAGGGAGACAGAGGAAAGAAAGAAAGAGAGACAGAGTGTGGGGGAAGGGAGAGAGGAACAGAGACAGTGAGGAAGAGAGTGAGGAACTGGAGAAGGGAGAGAGAGGAAGAGAGAAAGAGAGAGAAGGGAAGAAAGGGGGGAAAGGTGAGGGGATAGTGTGAAGGAGAGGGAGACGGGGGAGAAACAGTGGAAGGAGGGCAGACAGGAAGGGGGAGAGACAGAGGAAAAGAGACAGAGGGATAAGGAGGGAGTGAGAGAACACAGACAGGGAGAGACAGAAAGAGAGACTGAAAGAGGAGACTGAAAGGGGAAGAGTAAGAGAGGGAGGTAGACAGAGTCAGGGAGAGAGACACTATTCCTGTGGGTAGAATCTACTTCTCTACTAATGCATCAGCCATGTTCTCAATGTTTCCAGTAGATTTAAAGAATGAATGTGAAGTAGAGAAATGACTTTATAAAAAACATCTGGCTAAAAGCCCAGCTGAGTACAAAATCTATAAATCTACAATATTGACATACTATTGCTCTTCTTTATTGACATACTGTCTATCTTCCATATTACTCTTACCAAATTGTAGCTAGAAGTTAATAAAATTTCAAATGGTCAAATAAAATGAGAATGTCAAAAGAAACAAAAGTGTCCACTTTTCTAAAGCAGTTATTTTGTTCCAATCGTTGTAACCGACATTTAATTGTCACACATTTAAATTAGGAGATATTGCTGACCAAGCATGGTGGTTCAATTCTGCCATCTGAGCAGTTTGGGAGGCTAAGTGAGGAGGATCACTTGAGGCCAGGAGTTTGAGACTAGCCTAAGCAAACATAGCAAGACCACTTCTCTATAAAAATTAAAATAGAAATAAAAATTTAACCATTAGTCCCAGGTATTCAGCAGGTTGAGATGGGAGAAGTCTTAAGCTCAGGAGGTGGAGGCTGCAATGAGCTATAATCATGCCACTGCACTCCAGCCTCAGTGAGAGAGCAAATGGGGAAAAAAAAAAAAAAAAAAAAAAACACTGAGTTAAAAGACGTGAAGATGGGTTCATTTTGTCTTTTGGGCATTTTCTGTAGCAATTTCCAGGGTGACTTCTGGCAACCTGGACGTACATTTCACATATGAACTCTGACTGTTCATTTATTGGTTCACGGTATTTGACCACCCATCCCGGAGATACCATTATTACCTTCTGAGTAGTGGGACAGTGTCAACAGGCTGACACAGGAGGCTCCAGCCCCCGAGCCAAAGATGGTCACTCTCTTGGGGTCCCCGCCAAAGGCTCCCACATTCTCCTCAATCCACCGTAGTGCTTGAATCTGATCCAGGAGCCCATAGTTGCCTTTTGCTGCCTGGTCACCAGTACTTAAAAATCCTACAGAAGAACACAGGACATTTTTGTTGGTCAAAAAAAAAAAAAAAAAAAAAAAAAAAAGGCATACATATCCCCACTATTTGAAAAGTTATCTCATAGCTTGTCTTCATTCTCTCTCTCCACAACTCTCACCCTCACAAATTAGAGGAAAAACTGGAGAAAAGGTTTTGTGGCAGAAATAATTACACAGATAATAGTTATTGTTTAGGTTGACATTATGATACCATGTCATCTTTAGGTATGTATGGCTAATGTAGAAGGCAAAATGAATCTAAAATGTTAGGGGAAATTACAGGAAATTAGAGAAAAAACTGGAGAAATATTTTTGTGGCAGAAATAATTACATAAACAATTATTGTTTAGGTTGGCATTATGGTACCATGTCATCTTTGGGTATGTATGTGGCTAATAGAAGACAAAATGAATCTAAAATATTAATAACATGAAGCAATCCCAGAAGTCATTTTAAATTTTACTAGGTTCAACATACCATTTCTGTGCACATTTAAATAACAACAACAACAACAGACTCCTGCAATAAATTACATACTAAATATCTTTTGAAATGAGTTAATGACATGGATCTTCAAAAAAAAATATTTAAGGGACAAATATTATAGTTGAGTATTTGGGGAAGGTTTTTGTTGTTGTTGTTGTTTTACCAATTTCACGTCCTTAGGTGAGCCTTTCTCCCGAGCAAAGTTTGATGCCTTTTATGAACAACAATGTCACATAAGGGAAGGGCTTGTTTGTATGATGACAGACTGCTTTAAGCTCTAAAATAACATAAATCCAAACCAACTCCTTAAAAGCATATTCCTAACCAAAATTGACAGCATTCCAATGAAGGACTGAATGTCGGCTTCTACTTTTAAAGCAAAAAGAGTAGAGGATGAGGCTGCATACCAATAGAATTAACTAGCTTTTCTTCCATTAGGTTTCATGAACAACTGTGGGAAAACACTCTGCGTTGGAAAGGAGTAAATGGCCAGGCTTCAAAGAAAGTCACAGGATTTTTTTTTTTTTCTACAATGACAATAAATTTCAAGCCTGAATCGGGAGTCACTGTCGCCTGCAGCTTTCAAAGAGAGGCAGCATTGCAACTGTGAGGTTGTATACTTAAAACACATCCTACCAATGTGATTTCTTTAAAGTTTAGAGAAGCTTGATGTGAGATTAGCTATGATTAGTGGGTACTGTCAGACATTACCCAAGCCCCCCACCATTTAATTAGTGAATACTAATAAGTGCTTCATGCCAAAAATATTCTGCAACACCTGTCACCATCACTAAATCTTTGACACAGTTTGTTCATAAACAGCATCAGGCTCTGCTTGGAAGAAAAAAATCCTTTCATTCAGGGTACATGTTACAATGATGAATAATGCCAGTGTGGGTGCCCTATAATACCACAGGGCCATGCATTCTTCCCCTATTAAAGAGAGAGGTAATTAATTCTTAAGGCATGAGTCATTTTTTAACAGAATGATTCTGTCTTCAGCACATCTTTTCTTAACTCACTGTTTTCTCTTTCTCAATTCTGCAGAATGATCTATGGGCTTATTTCATTTCTGCAGAGGATCACGAAGATTTTCAACATGCAGTGAATCACTGGCCTTTCTTCCACCACAACCCCTTCCTCCTGAGCAAAACAAGTGTGTTGTAACCTTTCAACAACAGGCCAATGAATATCCCTTGTGTTCAAAAATCTTAGTTTTTCAAACAGAATCGTACTGGATGGATTGATCTTTGAGGTTCAGAATTTCTTCTATATATTCTATAATCTGACAGGGAAAAGGTAATGCTTGCATCTCTGAAGTTTTACAAATGAATGTGGTGTTCTGAAGCTAGTGTTTCCATATTTTCTGCATTGGAATTTTCATTTACCACAACATCTAGGGATTATGATTTTTCTTTTTAAATTTAAACTATCAACAACTGGGAGTACCTGTTTCAGGGACAGAATGAATAAAACAATTTTATGCTTTTTACAAGAGTATATGCCTTTCAACTTGAAACCACCTTTGCAAAACGTGTAACTGTGAGAAAATTATGACAGTGAAAGAGATCTGACCTAACCAACACCATCGTGCCTTTCACCAGCTTACTACACATAATCATTGCTGAGCATAGGCCAAGTTAACTTTGGGATAAATTGAACTTATAGTTTAAATGATAATAGCCCTTCTTGAAACTAAACCACCTTTGTAAAACCAATGAAAGTTCAGTAGGTTAGAAAAATGAGAGGGGCTTGAATTCTGCTAAGATATTGGCTTAAATGATTATCAGCCATTATTCTGATAGGTGAAGCCAGATGGATATCCTGGGTCGAGTGCAGACTTGGAGAACTTTTCTGTCTTACAACAGAATTGTAAAACACACCAATTAACACTGTGTAGCTAGGATTGTAAAATGCACAAATCAGCACTTTGTAGTTAGTAAGTAGATTGTAAAATGCACCAATCAGTAATCTTTAAAAACACACCAATCAGCAATCTGTAGCTAGCAAGAGGATTGTAAAGTGCACCAAACGGCACTCTGTGAAACGCACAAATCTGCACCCTGTAAAATGCACCAAACAGCAGCAACTTAAAAGTAGTCAATCACAGGGAGGATTGTAAAAAGGGCATTCTGATACGACAGACACAGAACATGGGATGGAACAAATAAGAAAACAAAAATTGGCCAACTCAGCCAACAGCGTCAATGTGCTTGGATCCCCTTCCATTCTGTGGAAACTTTGCTGTTTCACTCTTCACTACAAATCTTGTTGTTGCTTGTACAATAAATCTTGCTGTTGCTCATTCTTTGGGTTCATGCCACCTTTAAGGGCGGCAACACTCATGGTGAAGGTTTGTGGCTTCATTCTTGAAGTCAGCGAGACCACGAACCCACTGGCAGGAAACAACTCTGGGCACATCTAGGGGCTCGTCCAGGGTATTGCCATGTGGTATCATTGGACCGCTTTTGCTTGCTATTCTGTCCTACTTTTTCTTAGAATTTGGGGACTAAAAACCGGGCACCTGTCGACCAGTTAAAAGCCACTAGTGCAACTGCCAGACTAAAGACGCAGGTGTCAGATTTTCTAGGAAAGGGCTCTCTAACAACTCCCAAACCTTTGGAGTTGGGAGCATTGGTTTGCCTGGAACCAGATTCCACTCTTCCTCCATTTCTGGGCTGAGCCAGAGTTGACAGAGAGGAAAGCCGTTCAGCTCCAGGGTCCCGACAATAAGTTGGTTGACCCTGCAGCCATAAGCAGAACTCTCCAAGTTATGATGCCCAAATGAGACTTGCCCATCTATCCTATCTATCCTGACCCTAGCATCCTGGGTCCTAAGTCCTGCAAGAAAAACCTTCTTCCTGCCTCTCTTCTCTGATGGTAGCCCTGTTTCTAAAAAACACTCCCTGTCCCTGGTGATCTTCTAATTTCTCCTGCAAATGATTTCTAGTATAAATTTTGGGACTCTCTTCCTTCTTTAGGCATCCGGGCTCACCTATGAGAAAGACATAATTTTCACCTGAAGCTGTGTTGGGAGGACCATCTGGAATTTTAACATCCCTCCTCAAACTAGCAGACCTAACAAAGACTATTCTTGAAGCTAGGATATGGGGAGCCTCAGAAATTTTATCCTTCCTATTCATATGATGAGTTGTGAGGATAAAAGGCATCACTCTTCCAACCCTGGAGATCCCTTCCCTCCTTCAGAGTATGGCCCACCACTCCATTTTGAGGCATATCATCTTTATAGAACAAGGATAAGGTCCCAATACTAAGAGGATAATGCTTAGAACTCTAACAGATTTTCAATAATGCATTGGTAAAGGTCACTAAATCTGATTTTTCTTGGTGCTGTTTGTGGTCCAAGAAAAAAGACAAGGGTGCAAATTTTCAAGAATGTGTTGGTAAGGCAACTAAATCCGACCTTCATCTGTCTTCCTTGTGGTCTAGGAGGAAAACTAGTGTTTCTGCTGTTGCTTTGGTGAGTGCAGCTATTCTGAACATCAGAGTCCAGGGACTGTTGCAATTTCTTGGGCAAGGAAAAAAAGCAAACTGAAACCACATTTGTTTTTCTTTTTGTTTTTGTTTTCTTTCAGATGTGAATCAATCAGGCATCAACTAGTTCAACCTTGAAATGCATCCTAAGCCATTGGGGACAATTTGATTTGCAAACCCTGAAAAAGAAGCAGCTTATTTTTTTCTGCTATGGCTTGGCCTCAATATTCTCTCTCTGATGGGGAAAAATGGCCACCTGAGGGAAGTATAAATTAGAATTCTATCCTGCAGTTTGTCCTTTTCTAAAAGAGGGAAGGCAAATGGAGTGAAATATCTTATATCCAAGCTTTCTTTCCATTGAAGGATAATCCACAATGATGCAAAGCTTGAAATTTGCATTCCACAGGAGGACCTCTCAGCTCACCTTCATATCCTACCCTCTGTACAACTCTCTTTCCTATCAATAATAAGTTTCCTCTAATCTCCCCCACCCAGAAGGGGGATAAGCAAAGAAATGGCCAAGGGACCATAAACACCCCCGGGCTGTCAGCTATGTCCCCTTCAAGCTGTAGGGTGAAGGCAATTTGGCCCAACACAAGTATATGTCCCCTTCCCCCTCTCCAATTTAAAGCAGATCAAGGTAGACCTCGGGAATTGTTCAGATAACCCTGATAGGTATATATATGTCCTACAGGGAATCTTAGGGCAAACCTTTGACATCACTTGGAGAGATATCACGCTATTGTTAGATCAAACCCTGGACTTTAACGTAAAGAGTACAGCTTTAGCTGCAGCTGGAGAGTTTGGAGATACCTAGTATCTTGGTCAAGTAAATGATAGAATGACAGGTGAAGCAAGGGACTAATTCCCTACCGGTCAGAAGCCATACCCCGTATGGATCCCCACTGGGATCTAGACTCAGATCGTGGGGACTGAAGTCGCAAACATCTGTCAACCTGTGTTCTAGAAGGACTAAGGAGAATTTGGAAAAGGCCCAAGAATTAAT